CTTATTGATCGCTGTAAGACCCCATACTTAATGGAAAGGCTAATTAAGTTGCATGGAATATTCTATAATGATAGGTGTGGTTATAAACTGCATTTAACTGCTGGTGAAGTTATAGTCAGCAATACAATATATATACTGCACTTCTGATTATTGTAATAGGCATTTATGATACAATGCATTTTTTATGTATTTGTAATTGATGCATTTATGTATCTAATGTATGTAGTAATGTATTTATCAGTTGATGCTGATAATCAATATTTTGTGAAAACATGTTTTAAATGTTTTCAAACTTTGTGCATTTACGCAAATGGTAGGCAGGGTGTATAGGGAACGGTAAGGGGTGAATTAATTGAATTATTTTGATTATGATTATGCATTATATGTAATGATAATAGATTAATGATGAATGATATGAATATATAAAAGCTAATTTGCTGGTATGGATAGCACATTTGATTCTTTAAAAAAAACTGGAGAAAAAAAATCTTGAATTTCAATAATGGTTTGAAATATCTCACCTGGAATTTAGGTCTGGTTTAGTGCTGATCTAGGATCAGTTTAGCCTTTGAGATCATAATGAACAAGATATGGAGGACCTGATCCTACTCTGAGACAATTTGTGAATGCAGGCCCTGGAGTGTATTTTACATGGCATTTAGATTTCAGAATGTTTTTACATTGAAATCATAATAATAATAATACAGTTCTTATAAAGCAATTTTCAAAAACAGATGCATTTTATTTAATGCAACTCATGGAGACTACAAGATGTGTAAATGTGTCCATTTTCAGTGCATTTGTAAGGTAAAATATTATATACAACATATTGCAAAACTGCAATGAAGCTCAAAACCAAACGTATTGAACTTCTGAAAAACACACTCAAATACATGCACAATATTTATTACAAATGTATTACAAACTTCTGTTTCTGTAGCAGGACAGTGGACACGCACATGTAGAGAACCTTAAGACATTTGTGCAACAAGCCAACCAATGCTATGAGGAAATGTTAATACATTTTTACAAAGGTTTTTTAGTAGGGTTCTGCTGATAGGAGGACGGGAGTGGCATTTACAGGGAACTCTAGACTCCTAGAGTTTCGTTTCAGCAGCTTTCATAGCCATATAACCTTGTATGTTGCTACATACTTTGAAACTGCCATGAAATTAACCAATTGAAAAATGTCAAAGGAGTTAAATGAACTGTTCAATGCTCATTAATCATTTGACATGATCTGAGATGGGAGAACGTATGTAATTATGTTGTTGAGATGACAAGTTACAAAAACATTCTATTGAAATCTTTCATTCAATAAAGAGTTGATAAAGGTTTGTATTTAACTGGCAAGGAAAATAAAGACGATATGTGAAAGTAGTCCTAATGATATATTTGTTTATGTTGAAATAACTGTTATAAAACTGTCCTAATGATTAATTCTCTACCACCCAAAACAGCAAATACAGCCTCATCAACTGGTTTTACTATAACATCTGAAGAGAAAAATGTTCCACTACCAGATGGGATTATAACATTAAAAACGTGGGTGCAAATCCCAAACAGACTCAAAACAAATATAACTGCATCTGTGAGGAATAAAGTGTCAGCAACCAGTGCCTTGCCGGAAACAAGTCCCTCACAACCTTCTACGGTTACCAGTGAGACTGCCACTACAAATGAACAAACTTCAGCAGTCACGGACGGGCAAATATCAGCCACCACCATTGGACTCTCATCTACCCAGAGAACTGAAAGTACAACTACACAGCCAACTGACACAACAACTGAAGCTGGAACGACCCAAGATGAGCATACAACAAAGGCAGAAATGACAACAATGACAGATGAAACAACAACCGTAGTCACACAAGAGCAATCGGCTAGCCCAGATACTTTGACAAGCCCATCTCACACAATGACTTCTGGTCAAACAACAGCGCCCTCTGAGGTTACGAGTGAGTCTCTTACTAGCACTGCTGGAACCTCAACTCCAAGTGAGGCATCAACAACAACTTATGAAGTTAAAACATCTCCTGAAGAATCAACAGCGACCACAGATGGTTTAACAACTGCAACTGTGGAAGCTACGTTTTCAACATCGGGAGTGACTATGACACCGGAATCAACCAAAGACACAATGGAAACAACTACAGCTATGTCCTCAAGTGCAACAGAAACTTCAACCATTCCCTCAGAAACTTCAACCAGTCCCTCGCCGGAAACAAGTCCCTCACAACCTTCTACGGTTACCAGTGAGACTGCCACTACAAATGAACAAACTTCAGCAGTCACGGACGGGCAAATATCAGCCACCACCATTGGACTCTCATCTACCCCGGGAACTGAAAGTACAACTACACAGCCAACTGACACAACAACTGAAACGGGAATGACCCCTGATGAGCACACAACAAAGGCAGAAATGACAACAATGCCAGCTGAAGCAACAACCACTGTCACACAAGAACCATCGGCTAGCCAAGAGACTTTGACAAGCCCATCTCCCTCAATGACTTCTGGTCAAACAACAGCGCCCTCTGAGGTTACGAGTGAGTCTCTTACTAGCACTGCTGGAACCTCAACTCCAAGTGAGGCATCAACAACAACTTATGAAGTTAAAACATCTCCTGAAGAATCAACAGCGACCACAGATGGTTTAACAACTGCAACTGTGGAAGCTACGTTTTCAACATCGGGAGTGACTATGACACAAGATTCAACCAAAGACACAATGGAAACAACTACAGCTATGTCCTCAAGTGCAACAGAAACTTCAACCAGTATCTCGCCAGAACCAAGTCCCTCACAACCTTCTACAGTTACCAGTGAGACTGCCACTACAAATGAACAAACTTCAGCAGTCACGGACGGGCAAATATCAGCCACCACCATTGGACTCTCATCTACCCAGGGAACTGAAAGTACAACTACACAGCCAACTGACACAACAACTGAAGCTGGAACGACCCCTGATGAGCACACAACAAAGGCAGAAATGACAACAATGCCAGTTGAAGCAACAACCACTGTCACACAAGAACCATCGGCTAGCCAAGAGACTTTGACAAGCCCATCTCCCACAATGATTTCAGGCCACACAACAGCGCCCTCTGAGGTTACAAGTGAGTCTATTACTAGCACTGCTGGCACCTCAACACCAAGTGAGGCATCAACAACAACTTCTGAAGCTAAAACATCTCCTGAAGTATCAACAGCGACCACAGATGGTTTAACAACTGCAACTGTGGAAGCTACGTTTTCAACATCGGGAGTGACTATGACACCGGAATCAACCAAAGACACAATGGAAACAACTACAGCTATGTCCTCAAGTGCAACAGAAACTTCAACCAGTCCCTCGCCGGAAACAAGTCCCTCACAACCTTCTACAGTTACCAGTGAGACTGCCACTACAAATGAACAAACTTCAGCAGTCACGCATGGGCAAATATCAGCCACCACCATTGAACTCTCATCTACCCAGGGAACTGAAAGTACAACTACACAGCCAACTGACACAACAACTGAAACGGGAATGACCCCTGATGAGCACACAACAAGAGTTGAAATGACAACAATGACAGATGAAACAACAACCGTAGTCACACAAGAGCAATCGGCTAGCCCAGATACTTTGACAAGCCCATCTCCCACAATGATTTCAGGCCACACAACAGCGCCCTCTGACGTTACGAATGAGTCTCTTACTAGCACTGCTGGAACCTCAACTCCAAGTGAGGCATCAACAACAACTTATGAAGCAAAAACATCTCCTGAAGAATCAACAGCGACAACAGATGGTTTAACAACTGCAACTGTGGAAGCTACGTTTTCAACATCGGTAGTGACTATGACACAAGAATACACCAAAGACACAATGGAAACAACTACAGCTATGTCCTCAAGTGCAACAGAAACTTCAACCAGTATCTTGCCGGAAACAAGTCCCTCACAACCTTCAACGGTTACCAGTGAGACTGCCACTACAAATGAACAAACTTCAGCAGTCACGGACGGGCAAATATCAGCCACCACCATTGGACTCTCATCTACCCAGGGAACTGAAAGTACAACTACACAGCCAACGGACACAACAACTGAAGCTGGAACGACCCATGATGAGCACACAACAAAGGCAGAAATGACAACAATGCCAGCTGAAGCAACAACCACTGTCACACAAGAACCATCGGCTAGCCAAGAGACTTTGACAAGCCCATCTTCCTCAATGACTTCTGGTCACACAACAACGCCCTCTGAAGTTACGAGTGAGTCTCTTACTAGCACTGCTGGAACCTACACTCCAAGTGAGGCATCAACAACAACTTATGAAGCAAAAACATCTCCTGAAGAATCAACAGCGACCACAGATGGTTTAACAACTGCAACTGTGGAAGCTACGTTTTCAACATTGGGAGTGACTATGACACAAGAATACACCAAAGACACAATGGAAACAACTACAGCTATGTCCTCAAGTGCAACAGAAACTTCAACCAGTATCTCGCCGGAAACAAGTCCCTCACAACCTTCTACGGTTACCAGTGAGACTGCCACTACAAATGAACAAACTTCAGCAGTCACGGACGGGCAAATATCAGCCACCACCATTGGACTCTCATCTACCCAGGGAACTGAAAGTACAACTACACAGCCAACTGACACAACAACTGAAGCTGGAACGACCCATGATGAGCACACAACAAAGGCAGAAATGTCAACAATGCCAGCTGAAGCAACAACCACTGTCACACAAGAACCATCGGCTAGCCCAGATACTTTGACAAGCCCATCTCCCTCAATGACTTCTGGTCACACAACAGTGCCCTCTGACGTTACAAGTGAGTCTCTTACTAGCACTGCTGGAACCTCAACTCCAAGTGAGGCATCAACAACAACTTATGAAGCTAAAAACATCTCCTGAAGAATCAACAGCGACCACAGATGGTTTAACAACTGCAACTGTGGAAGCTACGTTTTCAACATCCGGAGTGACTATGACACAAGAATCAACCAAAGACACAATGGAAACAACTACAGCTATGTCCTCAAGTGCAACAGAAACTTCAACCAGTATCTCGCCAGAACCAAGTCCCTCACAACCTTCTACAGTTACCAGTGAGACTGCCACTACAAATGAACAAACTTCAGCAGTCACGGACGGGCAAATATCAGCCACCACCATTGGACTCTCATCTACCCAGGGAACTGAAAGTACAACTACACAGCCAACGGACACAACAACTGAAGCTGGAACGACCCATGATGAGCACACAACAAAGGCAGAAATGACAACAATGCCAGCTGAAGCAACAACCACTGTCACACAAGAACCATCGGCTAGCCAAGAGACTTTGACAAGCCCATCTTCCTCAATGACTTCTGGTCACACAACAACGCCCTCTGACGTTACGAGTGAGTCTCTTACTAGCACTGCTGGAACCTACACTCCAAGTGAGGCATCAACAACAACTTATGAAGCAAAAACATCTCCTGAAGAATCAACAGCGACCACAGATGGTTTAACAACTGCAACTGTGGAAGCTACGTTTTCAACATTGGGAGTGACTATGACACAAGAATACACCAAAGACACAATGGAAACAACTACAGCTATGTCCTCAAGTGCAACAGAAACTTCAACCAGTATCTCGCCGGAAACAAGTCCCTCACAACCTTCTACGGTTACCAGTGAGACTGCCACTACAAATGAACAAACTTCAGCAGTCACGGACGGGCAAATATCAGCCACCACCATTGGACTCTCATCTACCCAGGGAACTGAAAGTACAACTACACAGCCAACTGACACAACAACTGAAGCTGGAACGACCCATGATGAGCACACAACAAAGGCAGAAATGACAACAATGCCAGCTGAAGCAACAACCACTGTCACACAAGAACCATCGGCTAGCCAAGAGACTTTGACAAGCCCATCTCCCTCAATGACTTCTGGTCAAACAACAGTGCCCTCTGACGTTACGAGTGAGTCTCTTACTAGCACTGCTGGAACCTCAACTCCAAGTGAGGCATCAACAACAACTTATGAAGCAAAAACATCTCCTGAAGAATCAACAGCGACCACAGATGGTTTAACAACTGCAACTGTGGAAGCTACGTTTTCAACATCGGGAGTGACTATGACACAAGAATCAACCAAAGACACAATGGAAACAACTACAGCTATGTCCTCAAGTGCAACAGAAACTTCAACCAGTATCTCGCCAGAACCAAGTCCCTCACAACCTTCTACGGTTACCAGTGAGACTGCCACTACAAATGAACAAACTTCAGCAGTCACGGACGGGCAAATATCAGCCACCACCATTGGACTCTCATCTACCCAGGGAACTGAAAGTACAACTACACAGCCAACTGACACAACAACTGAAGCTGGAACGACCCATGATGAGCACACAACAAAGGCAGAAATGACAACAATGCCAGCTGAAGCAACAACCACTGTCACACAAGAACCATCGGCTAGCCAAGAGACTTTGACAAGCCCATCTCCCTCAATGACTTCTGGTCACACAACAGCGCCCTCTGACGTTACGAAGTGAGTCTCTTACTAGCACTGCTGGAACCTCAACTCCAAGTGAGGCATCAACAACAACTTATGAAGCAAAAACATCTCCTGAAGAATCAACAGCGACCACAGATGGTTTAACAACTGCAACTGTGGAAGCTACTTTTTCAACATCGGGAGTGACTATGACACAAGAATACACCAAAGACACAATGGAAACAACTACAGCTATGTCCTCAAGTGCAACAGAAACTTCAACCAGTATCTCGCCGGAAACAAGTCCCTCACAACCTTCTACGGTTACCAGTGAGACTGCCACTACAAATGAACAAACTTCAGCAGTCACGGACGGGCAAATATCAGCCACCACCATTGGACTCTCATCTACCCAGGGAACTGAAAGTACAACTACACAGCCAACTGACACAACAACTGAAGCTGGAACGACCAATGATGAGCAAACAACAAAGGCAGAAATGACAACAATGCCAGCTGAAGCAACAACCACTGTCACACAAGAACCATCGGCTAGCCCAGATACTTTGACAAGCCCATCTTCCTCAATGACTTCTGGTCACACAACAGTGCCCTCTGACGTTACGAGTGAGTCTCTTACTAGCACTGCTGGAACCTCAACTCCAAGTGAGGCATCAACAACAACTTATGAAGCAAAAACATCTCCTGAAGAATCAACAGCGACCACAGATGGTTTAACAACTGCAACTGTGGAAGCTACGTTTTCAACATCGGGAGTGACTATGACACAAGAATCAACCAAAGACACAATGGAAACAACTACAGCTATGTCCTCAAGTGCAACAGAAACTTCAACCAGTATCTCGCCGGAAACAAGTCCCTCACAACCTTCTACGGTTACCAGTGAGACTGCCACTACAAATGAACAAACTTCAGCAGTCACGGACGGGCAAATATCAGCCACCACCATTGGACTCTCATCTACCCAGGGAACTGAAAGTACAACTACACAGCCAACTGACACAACAACTGAAGCTGGAACGACCCATGATGAGCACACAACAAAGGCAGAAATGACAACAATGCCAGCTGAAGCAACAACCACTGTCACACAAGAACCATCGGCTAGCCAGATACTTTGACAAGCCCATCTCCCTCAATGACTTCTGGTCACACAACAGTGCCCTCTGACGTTACAAGTGAGTCTCTTACTAGCACTGCTGGAACCTCAACTCCAAGTGAGGCATCAACAACAACTTATGAAGCAAAAACATCTCCTGAAGAATCAACAGCGACCACAGATGGTTTAACAACTGCAACTGTGGAAGCTACGTTTTCAACATCGGGAGTGACTATGACACAAGAATCAACCAAAGACACAATGGAAACAACTACAGCTATGTCCTCAAGTGCAACAGAAACTTCAACCAGTATCTCGCCGGAAACAAGTCCCTCACAACCTTCTACGGTTACCAGTGAGACTGCCACTACAAATGAACAAACTTCAGCAGTCACGGACGGGCAAATATCAGCCACCACCATTGGACTCTCATCTACCCAGGGAACTGAAAGTACAACTACACAGCCAACTGACACAACAACTGAAGCTGGAACGACCCATGATGAGCACACAACAAAGGCAGAAATGACAACAATGCCAGCTGAAGCAACAACCACTGTCACACAAGAACCATCGGCTAGCCCAGATACTTTGACAAGCCCATCTCCCTCAATGACTTCTGGTCACACAACAGTGCCCTCTGACGTTACAAGTGAGTCTCTTACTAGCACTGCTGGAACCTCAACTCCAAGTGAGGCATCAACAACAACTTATGAAGCAAAAACATCTCCTGAAGAATCAACAGCGACCACAGATGGTTTAACAACTGCAACTGTGGAAGCTACGTTTTCAACATCGGGAGTGACTATGACACAAGAATCAACCAAAGACACAATGGAAACAACTACAGCTATGTCCTCAAGTGCAACAGAAACTTCAACCAGTATCTCGCCGGAAACAAGTCCCTCACAACCTTCTACGGTTACCAGTGAGACTGCCACTACAAATGAACAAACTTCAGCAGTCACGGACGGGCAAATATCAGCCACCACCATTGGACTCTCATCTACCCAGGGAACTGAAAGTACAACTACACAGCCAACTGACACAACAACTGAAGCTGGAACGACCCATGATGAGCACACAACAAAGGCAGAAATGACAACAATGCCAGCTGAAGCAACAACCACTGTCACACAAGAACCATCGGCTAGCCCAGATACTTTGACAAGCCCATCTCCCTCAATGACTTCTGGTCACACAACAGTGCCCTCTGACGTTACAAGTGAGTCTCTTACTAGCACTGCTGGAACCTCAACTCCAAGTGAGGCATCAACAACAACTTATGAAGCAAAAACATCTCCTGAAGAATCAACAGCGACCACAGATGGTTTAACAACTGCAACTGTGGAAGCTACGTTTTCAACATCGGGAGTGACTATGACACAAGAATCAACCAAAGACACAATGGAAACAACTACAGCTATGTCCTCAAGTGCAACAGAAACTTCAACCAGTATCTCGCCGGAAACAAGTCCCTCACAACCTTCTACGGTTACCAGTGAGACTGCCACTACAAATGAACAAACTTCAGCAGTCACGGACGGGCAAATATCAGCCACCACCATTGGACTCTCATCTACCCAGGGAACTGAAAGTACAACTACACAGCCAACTGACACAACAACTGAAGCTGGAACGACCCATGATGAGCACACAACAAAGGCAGAAATGACAACAATGCCAGCTGAAGCAACAACCACTGTCACACAAGAACCATCGGCTAGCCCAGATACTTTGACAAGCCCATCTCCCTCAATGACTTCTGGTCACACAACAGTGCCCTCTGACGTTACAAGTGAGTCTCTTACTAGCACTGCTGGAACCTCAACTCCAAGTGAGGCATCAACAACAACTTATGAAGCAAAAACATCTCCTGAAGAATCAACAGCGACCACAGATGGTTTAACAACTGCAACTGTGGAAGCTACGTTTTCAACATCGGGAGTGACTATGACACAAGAATACACCAAAGACACAATGGAAACAACTACAGCTATGTCCTCAAGTGCAACAGAAACTTCAACCAGTATCTCGCCGGAAACAAGTCCCTCACAACCTTCTACGGTTACCAGTGAGACTGCCACTACAAATGAACAAACTTCAGCAGTCACGGACGGGCAAATATCAGCCACCACCATTGGACTCTCATCTACCCAGGGAACTGAAAGTACAACTACACAGCCAACTGACACAACAACTGAAGCTGGAACGACCCATGATGAGCACACAACAAAGGCAGAAATGACAACAATGCCAGCTGAAGCAACAACCACTGTCACACAAGAACCATCGGCTAGCCCAGATACTTTGACAAGCCCATCTCCCTCAATGACTTCTGGTCACACAACAGTGCCCTCTGACGTTACAAGTGAGTCTCTTACTAGCACTGCTGGAACCTCAACTCCAAGTGAGGCATCAACAACAACTTATGAAGCAAAAACATCTCCTGAAGAATCAACAGCGACCACAGATGGTTTAACAACTGCAACTGTGGAAGCTACGTTTTCAACATCGGGAGTGACTATGACACAAGAATACACCAAAGACACAATGGAAACAACTACAGCTATGTCCTCAAGTGCAACAGAAACTTCAACCAGTATCTCGCCGGAAACAAGTCCCTCACAACCTTCTACGGTTACCAGTGAGACTGCCACTACAAATGAACAAACTTCAGCAGTCACGGACGGGCAAATATCAGCCACCACCATTGGACTCTCATCTACCCAGGGAACTGAAAGTACAACTACACAGCCAACTGACACAACAACTGAAGCTGGAACGACCCATGATGAGCACACAACAAAGGCAGAAATGACAACAATGCCAGCTGAAGCAACAACCACTGTCACACAAGAACCATCGGCTAGCCCAGATACTTTGACAAGCCCATCTCCCTCAATGACTTCTGGTCACACAACAGTGCCCTCTGACGTTACAAGTGAGTCTCTTACTAGCACTGCTGGAACCTCAACTCCAAGTGAGGCATCAACAACAACTTATGAAGCAAAAACATCTCCTGAAGAATCAACAGCGACCACAGATGGTTTAACAACTGCAACTGTGGAAGCTACGTTTTCAACATCGGGAGTGACTATGACACAAGAATCAACCAAAGACACAATGGAAACAACTACAGCTATGTCCTCAAGTGCAACAGAAACTTCAACCAGTATCTCGCCGGAAACAAGTCCCTCACAACCTTCTACGGTTACCAGTGAGACTGCCACTACAAATGAACAAACTTCAGCAGTCACGGACGGGCAAATATCAGCCACCACCATTGGACTCTCATCTACCCAGGGAACTGAAAGTACAACTACACAGCCAACTGACACAACAACTGAAGCTGGAACGACCCATGATGAGCACACAACAAAGGCAGAAATGACAACAATGCCAGCTGAAGCAACAACCACTGTCACACAAGAACCATCGGCTAGCCAAGAGACTTTGACAAGCCCATCTTCCTCAATGACTTCTGGTCACACAACAGTGCCCTCTGACGTTACAAGTGAGTCTCTTACTAGCACTGCTGGAACCTCAACTCCAAGTGAGGCATCAACAACAACTTATGAAGCAAAAACATCTCCTGAAGAATCAACAGCGACCACAGATGGTTTAACAACTGCAACTGTGGAAGCTACGTTTTCAACATCGGGAGTGACTATGACACAAGAATACACCAAAGACACAATGGAAACAACTACAGCTATGTCCTCAAGTGCAACAGAAACTTCAACCAGTATCTCGCCGGAAACAAGTCCCTCACAACCTTCTACGGTTACCAGTGAGACTGCCACTACAAATGAACAAACTTCAGCAGTCACGGACGGGCAAATATCAGCCACCACCATTGGACTCTCATCTACCCAGGGAACTGAAAGTACAACTACACAGCCAACTGACACAACAACTGAAGCTGGAACGACCCATGATGAGCACACAACAAAGGCAGAAATGACAACAATGCCAGCTGAAGCAACAACCACTGTCACACAAGAACCATCGGCTAGCCAAGATACTTTGACAAGCCCATCTCCCTCAATGACTTCTGGTCACACAACAGTGCCCTCTGACGTTACAAGTGAGTCTCTTACTAGCACTGCTGGAACCTCAACTCCAAGTGAGGCATCAACAACAACTTATGAAGCAAAAACATCTCCTGAAGAATCAACAGCGACCACAGATGGTTTAACAACTGCAACTGTGGAAGCTACGTTTTCAACATCGGGAGTGACTATGACACAAGAATCAACCAAAGACACAATGGAAACAACTACAGCTATGTCCTCAAGTGCAACAGAAACTTCAACCAGTATCTCGCCGGAAACAAGTCCCTCACAACCTTCTACGGTTACCAGTGAGACTGCCACTACAAATGAACAAACTTCAGCAGTCACGGACGGGCAAATATCAGCCACCACCATTGGACTCTCATCTACCCAGGGAACTGAAAGTACAACTACACAGCCAACTGACACAACAACTGAAGCTGGAACGACCCATGATGAGCACACAACAAAGGCAGAAATGACAACAATGCCAGCTGAAGCAACAACCACTGTCACACAAGAACCATCGGCTAGCCAAGAGACTTTGACAAGCCCATCTCCCTCAATGACTTCTGGTCACACAACAGTGCCCTCTGACGTTACGAGTGAGTCTCTTACTAGCACTGCTGGAACCTCAACTCCAAGTGAGGCATCAACAACAACTTATGAAGCAAAAACATCTCCTGAAGAATCAACAGCGACCACAGATGGTTTAACAACTGCAACTGTGGAAGCTACGTTTTCAACATCGGGAGTGACTATGACACAAGAATACACCAAAGACACAATGGAAACAACTACAGCTATGTCCTCAAGTGCAACAGAAACTTCAACCAGTATCTCGCCGGAAACAAGTCCCTCACAACCTTCTACGGTTACCAGTGAGACTGCCACTACAAATGAACAAACTTCAGCAGTCACGGACGGGCAAATATCAGCCACCACCATTGGACTCTCATCTACCCAGGGAACTGAAAGTACAACTACACAGCCAACTGACACAACAACTGAAGCTGGAACGACCCATGATGAGCACACAACAAAGGCAGAAATGACAACAATGCCAGCTGAAGCAACAACCACTGTCACACAAGAACCATCGGCTAGCCCAAGAGACTTTGACAAGCCCATCTTCCTCAATGACTTCTGGTCACACAACAGTGCCCTCTGACGTTACGAGTGAGTCTCTTACTAGCACTGCTGGAACCTCAACTCCAAGTGAGGCATCAACAACAACTTATGAAGCAAAAACATCTCCTGAAGAATCAACAGCGACCACAGATGGTTTAACAACTGCAACTGTGGAAGCTACCGTTTTCAACATCGGGAGTGACTATGACACAAGAATACACCAAAGACACAATGGAAACAACTACAGCTATGTCCTCAAGTGCAACAGAAACTTCAACCAGTATCTCGCCAGAACCAAGTCCCTCACAACCTTCTACGGTTACCAGTGAGACTGCCACTACAAATGAACAAACTTCAGCAGTCACGGACGGGCAAATATCAGCCACCACCATTGGACTCTCATCTACCCAGGGAACTGAAAGTACAACTACACAGCCAACTGACACAACAACTGAAGCTGGAACGACCCATGATGAGCACACAACAAAGGCAGAAATGACAACAATGCCAGCTGAAGCAACAACCACTGTCACACAAGAACCATCGGCTAGCCAAGAGACTTTGACAAGCCCATCTTCCTCAATGACTTCTGGTCACACAACAGTGCCCTCTGACGTTACGAGTGAGTCTCTTACTAGCACTGCTGGAACCTCAACTCCAAGTGAGGCATCAACAACAACTTATGAAGCAAAAACATCTCCTGAAGAATCAACAGCGACCACAGATGGTTTAACAACTGCAACTGTGGAAGCTACGTTTTCAACATCGGGAGTGACTATGACACAAGAATACACCAAAGACACAATGGAAACAACTACAGCTATGTCCTCAAGTGCAACAGAAACTTCAACCAGTATCTCGCCAGAACCAAGTCCCTCACAACCTTCTACGGTTACCAGTGAGACTGCCACTACAAATGAACAAACTTCAGCAGTCACGGACGGGCAAATATCAGCCACCACCATTGGACTCTCATCTACCCAGGGAACTGAAAGTACAACTACACAGCCAACTGACACAACAACTGAAGCTGGAACGACCCATGATGAGCACACAACAAAGGCAGAAATGACAACAATGCCAGCTGAAGCAACAACCACTGTCACACAAGAACCATCGGCTAGCCAAGAGACTTTGACAAGCCCATCTTCCTCAATGACTTCTGGTCACACAACAGCGCCCTCTGACGTTACGAGTGAGTCTCTTACTAGCACTGCTGGAACCTCAACTCCAAGTGAGGCAACAACAACTTATGAAGCAAAAACATCTCCTGAAGAATCAACAGCGACCACAGATGGTTTAACAACTGCAACTGTGGAAGCTACGTTTTCAACATCGGGAGTGACTATGACACAAGAATACACCAAAGACACAATGGAAACAACTACAGCTATGTCCTCAAGTGCAACAGAAACTTCAACCAGTCCCTCGCCGGAAACAAGTCCCTCACAACCTTCTACGGTTACCAGTGAGACTGCCACTACAAATGAACAAACTTCAGCAGTCACGGACGGGCAAATATCAGCCACCACCATTGGACTCTCATCTACCCAGGGAACTGAAAGTACAACTACACAGCCAACTGACACAACAACTGAAGCTGGAACGACCCCTGATGAGCACACAACAAAGGCACCAACTACACCTACCACACCTTCTCCAACTACCCTAACTACTACACCCAGTCCAACTTCTACAACTGCACCTCCTTCACTGACGTCACCTTCACCCTCAACAACTGGACCTACACCTCCGATTAATGTGACTTTGGGTGAGTGATCACATGACCAGGAAATACTCTGTGATACTACTAGGGCTTGGAGGTTCTAATTGTTGTTCCTTATTGTCCTTTTCATGTTAATGAACTACAGACACCATTGAAGTATCAACAGATGTCATTGTTAGACTCAACAAAACATTTAAAGAAGAGTTCCGTGACCCATCAACACAGGAATATAAAAATTTTACAAAAGATTTCACTAACACGGTACGTGCTTAATTTACATACAAAGTCTTTTTTTAAATCATACATGTATAATCTTAATGAGCTCATTAATAGTAACTAACTGAGCTATAACAACTTTTGTTTTCCAGATGACCTTACTATACAACAGAACTATTAAGAATTTTATCGGCATAGTGATAATAGGACTCAGGTATGTGAACATTTGAGGAAACGTCTCAACACAGAAATAGTATGAATTAAACAAGTTAGTTCAATCTCTTTTTAGAACTTCTATTTACATGTGGAACCTCTTTTTGGAATCTCTTCTCTCTCTATTAGGAAGGGCAGTGTCGTGGTGGAGCATGAGGTTCTACTGCGCATAGTGAATGGGAAGAACCTAACTAATGACATTGCTGAGTCAGAAGAACAGATCAAGGACATTCTCAATGAGGCCAAAAACTGCACCACAGGTCAGTAACCGACTACAGACTCTTACGATATCAGAAACCGGTTGTTAAGTAGGCCATTTGGCTTATCCAAGATCTGCTGTTTGTGCCATTTTACATATGCCATTTAGCAGACGGTTTTATCCAAAGCGACTTACGACACTGAGCGTATACATTGTGGTATGGGTAGGCCCTGCGGGAAATGAAGCCGCAAACCTGGCCTTACTAGCGCCATGTTCTTACCCACTGAGCTACACAGTTTTAGCCAACTAACTAACTCTGACTAGCGTTCGAAAATTCGATCTGGCTATCAAAATTACTCCGATTCTAGAGCACTCTGGTCTGAGTGTGCCAGAGCGCAGAATAACTGATTCATTTACTGACGCTCAACACCAGTTGAATATGTTGGGTGTCAGTCAACGTCCGCAAAAAAGCGTAATTAAATTGTTCTCAGCAGCACAGTTACAGTCACCAACGATCTGGATAACATGAAAACAGCCTAACGAGCTCTGCTAGGGCGAGTAAAATGGTCAGAGTGAGGTGTTCTCTCATTTGTGTCTGGAAGTAGTTAGCCAGTTAGCTTGGGTACATGACTTCATTTGTGAGGTCAACCCAACTCCCCAGCCAGAGCGTCCAGTGTGCGCTCGGCGAGCGAAAAGCTCTGAATTTATGAATGGACAATCTGACAAAGTTCTGAATGTACGAACGCCCAGAGCTCACTGTGGCACTCCACGTTGAATTTACGAACACACCCACCGTTGTTAAAATCACATATTAGACCTGGGCCAGGTTAGCTGACCAATGTGTATGAAAGAAAAGAAGAGAGAGAGAAATTATCACTCTTGAACTTTACATTCACAAAACAATTATACTGCGTTAAAATATGGTATTATTGACAAATCACTTGTCAAATCATTTGTTTTGCATAACAAACATTTCTGTTGCATCCACAGGCCAAGACGGCTGTCTTGACTTGGACATCATAGGAGATGTCATAGTAAAGAATTCCACGTTTGATAAAGAATGTAAGTATACTAAAGCCTATATTTGTGAGTCCACACCAGGGTATCTATGGTTATCCTTTCAACACATTTTAGTGAAAGGGGTTATACTGTAAAGCTGTTCCTACCAGGGTTGGGGTCAGTTACTGTAATTCTGCAAGTTCATTTAAATATACAGTACCAGTCAAACGTTTGGACACACCTACTCATTCAAGGGTTTTTCTTTATTTTTTAAAACTATTTTCTACATTGTAGAATAATAGTGAAGACATCAAAACTATGAAATAACACATATGGAATCATGTAGTAACCAAAAATGTGTTAATCCAAATATATTTCAGATTCTTCAAAGTTGCCACCCTTTGCCTTGATGACAGCTTTGCACACTCTTGGCATTCTCTCAACCAGCTTCCCACAAACCAAACATTTGAGATTTTTGGTTCCAACTGCCGTGTCTTTGTGAGACGCAGAGTAGGTGAACGGATGTTCTCCGCATGTGTAGTTCCCACCGTAAAGCATGGAGGAGGAGGTGTTATGGTGTGGGGGTGCATTGCTGGTGTCACTGTCTGTGATTTACTTAGAATTTAAGGCACATTTAACCAGCATGGCTACCACAGAATTCTGCAGCAATACGCCATCCCATCTGGTTTGGGCTTAGTGGGACTATCATTTGTTTTTCAAAATGACAATGACCCAACACAGCTCCAGGCTGTGTACAGTGAGGGAAAAAAGTATTTGATCCCCTGCTGATTTTGTACGTTTGCCCACTGACAAAGAAATGATCAGTCTATAATTTTAATGGTAGGTTTAGTTGAACAGTGAGAGACAGAATAACAACAACAAAAAATCCAGACAAACACGTCAAAAATGTTATAAATTGATTTGCATTTTAATGAGGGAAATAAGTATTTGACCCCTCTGCAAAACATGACTTAGTACTTGGTGGCAAAACCCTTGTTGGCAATCACAGAGGTCAGACGTTTCTTGTAGTTGGCCACCAGGTTTGCACACATCTCAGGAGGGATTTTGTCCCACTCCTCTTTGCAGATCTTCTCCAAGTCATTAAGGTTTCGAGGCTGACGTTTGCCAACTCGAACTTTCAGCTCCCTCCACAGATTTTCTATGGGATTAAGGTCTGGAGACTGGCTAGGCCACTCCAGGACCTTAATGTGCTTCTTCTTGAGCCACTCCTTTGTTGCCTTGGCCGTGTGTTTTGGGTCATTGTCATGCTGGAATACCCATCCACGACCCATTTTCAATGCCCTGGCTGAGGGAAGGAGGTTCTCACCCAAGATTTGACGGTACATGGCCCGTCCATCGTCCCTTTGATGCGGTGAAGTTGTCCTGTCCCCTTAGCAGAAAAACACCCCCAAAGCATAATGTTTCCACCTCCATGTTTGACGGTGGGGATGGTGTTCTTGGGGTCATAGGCAGCATTCCTCCTCCTCCAAACATGGCGAGTTGAGTTGATGCCAAAGAGCTCCATTTTGGTCTCATCTGACCACAACACTTTCACCCAGTTCTCCTCTGAATCATTCAGATGTTCATTGGCAAACTTCAGACGGGCATGTATATGTGCTTTCTTGAGCAGGGGGACCTTGCGGGCGCTGCAGGATTTCAGACCTTCACGGCGTAGTGTGTTACCAATTGTTTTCTTGGTGACTATGGTCCCAGCTGCCTTGAGATCATTGACAAGATCCTCCTGTGTAGTTCTGGGCTGATTCCATGAGGTGAGATCTTGCATGGAGCCCCAGGCCGAGGGAGACTGACAGTTCTTTTGTGTTTCTTCCATTTGCGAATAATCGCACCAACTGTTGTCACCTTCTCACCAAGCTGCTTGGCGATGGTGTTGTAGCCCATTCCAGCCTTGTGTAGGTCTACAATCTTGTCCCTGACATTCTTGGAGAGCTCTTTGGTCTTGGCCATGGTGGAGAGTTTGGAATCTGATTGATGGATTGCTTCTGTGGACAGGTGTCTTTTATACAGGTAACAAGCTGAGATTAGGAGTACTCCCTTTAAGAGTGTGCTCCTAATCTCAGTTTATTACCTGTATAAAAGACACCTGGGAGCCAGAAATCTTTCTGATTGAGAGGGGGTCAAATACTTATTTCCCTCATTAAAATGCAAATCAATTTATAACATGCGTTTTTCTGGATTTTTTTGTTGTTATTCTGTCTCTCACTGTTCAAATAAACCTACCATTGAAATTATAGACTGATCATTTCTTTGTCAGTGGGCAAACATACAAAATCAGCAGGGGATCAAATACTTTTTTCCCTCACTGTAAGGGCTATTTGACTAAGAAGGAGAGCGATGGAGTGTTGCATCAGATGACCTGGCCTCCACAATCCCCGACCTCAACCCAATTGAGATGGTTTGGGATGAGTCGGATGGCAGAGTGAAGGAAAATAAGCCAACAAGTGCTCAGCATATGTGGGAACTCCTTCAAGACTGTTGGAAAAGCATTCCGGGTGAAGCTGGTTGAGAGAATGCCCAGAGTGTGCAAAGCTGTCATCAAGGCAAAGGGTGGCTATTTGAAGAATCTCAAATATAAAATATGTTTTGATTTGTTTAACACTTTTTTGGTTACTACATGATTCCATATGTGTTATTTAATAGTTCTGATGTCTTCATTATTATTCTACAATGTAGAAAATAGTAAAAAATTAAGAAAAACAATTGAATGAGTAGGTGTGTCCAAACTTTTTACAGGTACTGTATATATATTCAATTGGCTATATTGAATTGAAAAATTCAAATTAATCTCCTGCATTGACTTAACATGCTTTTTAACATCACAGTAACTTACTTTTAAACTTCAAACTTAATATTCTTTTAAACTTACCATCATCTTTGTGTAGCGGTATGCGACCAGGCCAGACTAGATAAGGACTTGAGGATATACTACCATGCAGCAGAAATAGATGGGCGACTGGTCTGCATCTCTCCCTGTTCTCCCAACACAACAGGGCAAAGAACTGCAACACCGGCACCTGTAGTATGTCACAGGACGGCCCGGTCTGCAGGTAAGAGCATTACATCTTATGACTTATTATAACATGACATAGCATAACATTACATAATGGACAGCATATCTAATGGAGTTAAGATTGTACCGGTAAGATCTCTCCACAGCTTGAAATGTCTCCACTTGGGTCGCCAAATTATGCAACTGGATAGTAGCATAACATAACACAACATATCACCAAATATAGCCAACATACAACATATAGCCAACATACAACATATAGCCAACATATAACATATAGCCAACATATAACATATAGCCAACATATAACATATAGCCAACATACAACAAATAGCCAACATACAACATATAGCCAACATATAACAAATAGCCAACATAAAACCAGCACAATGACTCCACTTAACCCTCCATCCCTCTGTGTCCCATCCACCACCCACACAGATGTAACCAGGACTACTGGTACCTAGACTCCGACTGCTACAGTCCTATCCTGAAGAGGGACCTCTTTGCCGGGTTACTGACCCTGACAGGACTGGTGATAGCAGCTGTGGGGGTCATGGTGGTCTACGTAACCTGGCATAGACGACAATTACACAGGTGAGACTGACTACAGATCAACACAGCAGCTAAAAATATCAGGTACAACACAGAGAGTGACATAGATGTTTATGTGCAGTAAGTGAACCCTTCACCATCTAGTCATGAGAGAAGCCTTCACCATCTACATTTAAGTCATTTAGGAGACGCTCTTATCCAGAGTGCATACATTATTTTGTATTATTTTTTTCATACTGGCCCCCCGTGGGAATCAAACCCACAACCCTGGCGTTGCAAACGCCAAGCTCTACCAACTGAGCTACATCCCTGCCGGCCATTCCCTCCCCTATCCTGGACGACACTGTGCCAATTGTGCGCCACCCCATGGGTCTCCCGGTCACGGCCGGCTACGGCAGAGCCTGGATTCGAACCAGGATCTCTAGTGGCACAGCTAGCACTGCGATGCAGTGCCTTAGACCACTGCGCCACTCAGGAGACTAGTCATAAGAGAAGCCTTCACCATCTAGTCATGAAAGAAGCCTTCACCATCTAGTCATGAAAGAAGCCTTCACCATCTAGTCATGAGAGAAGCCTTCACCATCTAGTCATGAAAGAAGCCTTCACCATCTAGTCATGAAAGAAGCCTTCACCATCTAGTCATGAGAGAAGCCTTCACCATTTAATCATGAGAGAAGCCTTCACCATTTAATCATGAGAGAAGCCTTCACCATTTAATCATAAGAGAAGCCTTCACCATCTAGTCATGAGAGAAGCCTTCACCATCTAGTCATGAGAGAAGCCTTCACCATTTAATCATGAGAGAAGCCTTCACCATTTAATCATGAGAGAAGGCTTCACCATCTAGTTATGACAGAAGCCTTCACCATCTAGTCATGAGAGAAGCCTTCACCATCTAGTCATGAGAGAAGCTAATGTGTGGATTTGTAAAGATAAAGAACTGGTGTAAGATGTTGGCACAGACGACAAGCCTGCAGGTGAGACTCAAAAATGTATCACAAAACTCTGCATTTGTACCGAATTTGGATACGATGAACTCTAACGTCCAACACATACAGAACTGTGTAAGAATACGATGAACTCTAACCTCCAACACATATAGAACTGTGTAAGAATACGATGAACTCTAACCTCCAACACATATAGAACTGTGTAAGAAGTTGGAACTTTGAAACAAAACGTTGTAGCAATCAATGACACCAGCCAATAATTATTCTCAAAACAATGATCATACTCCGATGATCAGTAATGTAAACTCATGAACTAAGTTTCCTCTCTCCCCCTTTCCTTTAGTGTGAAAGACGTCCATACTGAACAAGTTAACCAGTGGCTGGAGGAAGACTTTGAATGGCCCAACAGGCCAAATATCAGTGGCCACTTGGTTTGTTCAAATAGTACCACAGTCCTAACAGGTACACTGTCTGAAGCCTACTCTGCCTCACCTGTCATAGGTTGTTGCTGTAATTGTGTTTTTAAGGGGTTAATTCATAATATGCCATTGTTATACGGTCTGTAACTTTTATCTGACCTAGTTTTGATTCCGTGCTCTTTTATGATCATATTCTGGATTTTCTATTTCTTACCTTTGATATTGAGCACTGCATTGCTGAGGAAGAGTTTGTCAGTGAGCATTTCTCTGTACTGTTTACACCTGCTGTATCCTGTGCACGTAACACGTAAACATTGATTTCATTTTACTTTAGAAAGTGTGGCATAATGCTGCCCCCTTCTGAACAATTTATTTTAAAATATTCTTATCTGTAGAGTACCTTGGCATGTTTTAAAACATGAGTAGCTTCAGAGGACCATTTGTAAATATATTTTTTGTCCCCTACTATAAAGAGAATGACCCTAACCCACCTTATGGTGGCCGAGTGGGCTTGCAGTACGACGCAGAGGCAGATTCCCTGTCATGCTCCAGTACAAGGCTGCCGTATCCCTTACATGGAACACAGGCACAGGTGGGGATCTATTCTAGCTATCCTAGATGCCATCTCCTGCTGTGGTGCCTTTGAGCAAGGCTGTGTATGTGAGAGACGAGTGTGTTACTTAAGGGGTTAAAAAAGCAACAACAGAAAATGAAATTCCATGATCTGAAAATGACAGTGGACAATCAAGTCTTCTTCTTTTTCTTCTTCAAAAGGTGTCCAGGAGGAGGTCTGAGACCATGTGCCATGACTGCAGTTCCCGGGGTGCTGATAGGGACGCCATACCACATTTACATTTACATTTACGTCATTTAGCAGACGCTCTTATCCAGAGCGACTTACAAGTCATACAGACTACTGCCAACCCGTCAGGGCAGCATTTTACATTGGGTAACCCTGGCAGCCAATCAGAGGTGGGTAGAAGAACGGAATGTTAATCATAAAGCTGTCAAATATGTATGTAAGTAATAGGTATGGTTGCCCCTCATAAACCGTTTCAGCCTAAATCGGTGTGCACTTTCCCAGTAAATTACTACTTGATTGAGGACACACAGAGGAGCTAGTGATCACTTTAGAAACTTATTCCATACTCAAAAACCTTTTTTAAATATTCCCTGACAGTTTAGGATCAGCAGAGCAGGGATAAGGACTTACTCTGAGATCTAGTGGAACATCCTGATCTCTTAAAACATCAGGACTGGACAAAGAACAGGATAATACATTTAAAGAAGTGTTTCTCATCGACCAACAGAAGAAAACAGACGGAAAAACGATCTCTATGGGACAGTCTCGTCTTTGGGAGTGAAGCCTGAATAACGGTTGTGGGACAATGCTTTGAAAAGCACTACATAGGATTGTCCAAAGCTGTATGGTTTCCATGGACTCACTGATACAGGTGGACGTGAAACCCAACCTCAGGTTCATTAATGGAATAATCTGCTCTCAAATCAATTACCTATCAGGACATCTAAGGAAACAACATATTTTATATACTGTACTTCAGTGATGCATGTTTACAATTAGTCTGCCCAGTGATATGATATCTTATTTATACCAGTTTGCCAATTAGCATATCATGTTTTGCACTTTGGTACTACTTTGGTACTAAAACGAATGAATGTAAATAATGTTGTAATATCACATGTATATAATAATATGGCCTAACAATGTGTCTGTATATAGAGAAGAGATATTGCACTGTGGTAGTTCTTACACACAAAACATATTTCAAATGTGTACCAAAAACAAATAGTTATTTCCCCACTCATTTTTGTAAACTGCATAATATCAAACCAATAATAGAATTGCAAATTGTGTTTAGAAAATATACGGCATTAACACTTCACACACAAATAGAACAATAAACGCAATTGATGAAATTGGCAATCAAATGAACCATGATTGAAGGCCCAAGTGAGACATTTCTGATCAAATAAATACTGCTGTAATATGACTGTATATCTCCTTTTTTACTAATCAAGTGCATATAAACATTCTATGAAATCACTTGGGCCTTCAATCATGGTTCATTTGATTGCCAATTTCATCAATTGCGTTTATTGTTCTATTTGTGTGTGAAGTGTTAATGCCGTATATTTTCTAAACACAATTTGCAATTCTATTATTGGTTTGATATTATGCAGTTTACAAAAATGAGTGGGGAAATAACTATTTGTTTTTGGTACACATTTGAAATATGTTTTGTGTGTAAGAAACCATACAGCTTTGGACAATCCTATGTAGTGCTTTTCAAAGCATTGTCCCACAATCAAGATTGTCAGCCATTTTGTTTCTCTCAGAATATGAAAACAAACAAAATGGACACTATTTCAACACCTCTTCCACCAAATGGATCTGTCGCCGTGCCAACAGTTTCAAGTGCACCGTTAAGGGGACATAGTCCCCGCCTTCTCCCAGTCAGGCTTCCTTTGCGTAGCGGTCCCTGACTTTGCTGACTCGTCATTTGGGCGTTTGTCCTTGTGCTTCTCCATTGGCATGCAAAGGGCAGACAGTTTCAGTTCTGTCTCTTTCATCTGTCCTCTCCTGCAACACAACCAGCCCTGTCCTTGGCTATGATCCCTTATTGATATCACCTGCAAAATCCACTTCAATCAGTGTAGATGAAGGGGAGGAGAAAGGTTACAGGATGTTTAAGCCGAGACAATTGAGATATGAATAGTGTATGTGTGTCATTCAGAGGGTGAATGGGCAAGACAAAATATTTAAGTGTCTTTGAACGGTGGTAGTAGGTGCCAGGCACACCGGTGTGAGTGTGTCAAGAACTGCAACGCTGCTGGGTTTTTCACGCTCAACAGTTACGAATTGAAGCTGTTCTGTAGGCAAAAGGGGGTGCAACTTAATATTAGGAAGGTGTTCCTAATGTTTGTACACTCTGTATATCTCAAAAGGGAGAGATGGTGGAAAGAATATATTAAAGAGAACACATTTAAGATGGTGGCGCAAACTCCCTCACACTGAAATGACTGAGGTGAAGATCTATTACCCATCCGTAATTCTAGACCTGGGCCCGTACTCACAAAGCGCATCAGAATACGAGTACTGATCTAGGATCAGGTTCCAACTCTTATTTAATATGAATTAAAAAGCTAAACTGATCCTAGATCAGCACTCTTACTCTAGGGGCAGGGCAATCGGATCGTAGATCTGTGGTTTGAGTATACCGTATCTGGAGCAGGAGGGGGCGCTGTTCAGACAGAGACATCAGCAGATCCAGCATGAGAGCACTTTATGTGAAGACGAAGAAGAAGAAGAAGAAGAAGAAGAAGAAGAAGAAGAAGGTAGTGATGAGGAAAATGGGACTGACTGAAAGAAACCAGATCATCATGGATGACTGGCATCTGTTATAAGGTACAAAGTGTATAACTGACACCCACACAGACACAGACCAACATTAGTTATCATCTTAACCATAAGAGTCAGTCTGAAACATTCACTCAGCATGCGGACCGTACACAGGAACATGCTCCCCAGGCATCTCCATGTTTACTTTTTCTCGGCCCGGGATGCTGTGGCCCCGTAGAGGAGGCTGCAGCAGAGGGCTGTTGTTGTTCTTGACATACTGGCAACAGTTGGCCCAGTGGAGGTAGAGGACACCGGG